CAAACATGAGACGACCTTGCAATGTACCATCAACGGTGGAGATGCATTGAAAGACCTCGCTCATCTTCCATCTTCATGGCCATGCACTCCATGGGTCATTGTGGTCCAATACCCCATGCTCCTTCTTGACATGGAAGCGCTGGAATCCTTGTTCCAAGCAGGATCCAACCCCCTTGAGATGCACGTTCATTCTGCGCCCCCCTCGTGCCCCCTTATTGGCAGCTTTTAGTTGCAGATGCAAGGTGCCCAAAGGAGCATTGCTGGACTTCTGCATATCCCTGTGTTAGCTACCTCCCCCATACGGCTGTCTTGGCGCGCCTCAATTTTCAAAAGCCAACAAGCTTTGTCCTGCAAGTCCCCAACACAAATCTCCATGGCGGCAAAGGCGGGAAGCTCGGACTGATACAGGCTGGACTCGTTTCTTTATCACGAAAATTCACAATGCACCATGCTTTTCAGCGGCCGAGATTGCAGGCGCCCTCATCGAAGGACAATGGTCGTGCATGCCAGCTTGGAGGCACGATTTAACTTGCAAATGGTCCTTCCCGCTTGATTTTCAAAATTAAATGGCGCTTTTGTGATGGCCAAAGCGCTCCTCGTTTCGACTACTTCAAGGTGTCCGGAACCTCGAGCCTCCTTTTCACGAGTCATTTCCGACGTTCGTGAAGTGGACGGCTACGATTGATCGACGGATTGCAAAGTTGCGAACTGACGGTAGCAGGCATCGGACTGGCTACAATGAGGACGCTTGTCCGGGGGACAAATTGACGAAAGAGGGTGAGCCTTTAGACAAAAAGCGGTTTTCCTACACTGAGTGCGTGGAGAGCTTGTTTACTTAGGTGTGTGCCCTAGGCCCGACATTGCAGGGGCTGTGGGCGCACTTGCGCGCTTTATGGCGGGGCCGACAAAGGAGCACAGACGGGCGGCGCTTAGCGTTGTGCGCTATCTAGCGTGTACGGCGGAGGACAGCGTAACCTTGGAAGGAGCAGAAAGACTAACATCGCTTATTGCGACGTGGTTTACGCGGGTGACGTGGACACAAAGCGGTCCACACTGTGGCCTTCAAGATGTACGGGGGTGCGGTGAGCCGGTGAGCCGACAACGGTGGCGTCCTCGACAGTGGAGGCGGAGTGCATCAGCGCAGCGCAAGCGATGAAGGAGGCGCTGTGGTTCCGCAAGCTCAGGTGGGATCTCAGGTTGAAGCTGGGGGCGGTTCAAATCTACTTCAACAACTTGTTGTGAAACAGAGTTGATTGCCGGCCAAATTGTTGAGTCAGGCTCGATAGATTTGAGCCGTAGGATCGTGAGTATTGTCAGGTAACATCGACCGTATTTTGTGGTTGTGTCGTAATATCGACCGTAGAATTATAGGTTTGCGTCGTTGAGTCGACCGTCGGATTGTGTAGACTCGGACTGTGGATCGTTAGATGTAAGTCGACTCGAGTGGTCTAGTACCCCGGTTACTAGTAGTACGGTACTACCGACCACTAGTAGTATAGTGCCCGGTTCCCAAGTCCGAGTGGAATGTAAACCGTATTGTGAGTAGTCGAGTGACCCATTGATGGAAAGAAGAGTCCACATACTTAAATCGACTAGTGGGTGGTAGAAGTAGACCCGAACCAGGCATGAATACATCTAGCTACGGGACTGAAGTGACTTTGGACTCATGTCATGTGATGATATTCATTCTGACAGATGCTTGAAAGAAGAAAGGCGCTCCTTTGTGAACGCGCTTATGTGTAAGGTTGGTTAGCCCCTAGCTTGTGACAAGCATGAAGGAATGATCTCAACATAACCAAGGGTCAACTCGGCTTCTAAAGCACCCGATCACTTTATAGCGGTCGAAGCTCATTGAGGTGATTCACCACTTTTGAGATTCGGGCAGTTGCGTGCGCGATTTCTTGGGTGACGTCGACGAGAGGTCGATGATAACCGATAGTCAGCCGTTGGCGGTTATTAAATGCCCGCGGAATCACAACGTTACACCCGAATCACTTATTGAGATAATCGCCGTAATGAGTGACTTATTGAGATGATCATTGTAATGAGTAGGTTCGATAATAGCCGTAGATATTCAACTTGCTTATCCGCGGTCAATTGAGCCTAATAGGCTGTTGGTGTAGATCTATACTGGGAGTCTAGCATCGCACACGGACTACATAGCTACAACAGCGCCGCTAGACTTCGAATACTCGATATGTATTGTGTGAACCTGATTATTCGATCATTCACTCCCAACAACGCCGTGTTTCAACAATCACTTTGCACGGGAGCGTGTGGCACGCAAAGAGGTCGCATTCGCATACTATAGAACGGAGGACATGAGGCGGACATCATGATCAAGGCGTAAGCACTGGGAATGTTCAAGAAAAGCAAAAGATGTATAAGTCATTGATGTGTGGGGTAGTGTTGAGATTCGGGCAGTTAGTGTCCGCGATATCTTGGATGACGTCATCGGGAGTTCGACGATAACCAATTGTTTAGCGCTCGGCTTTTAATTGCGCATGGCTTATAGCATTATACCCAAATGACTTTTCGAGTAATTGCCACAAAGAGTAGGTTCGATAATAGCCGTAGATATTCTGATTGGCGCGAATCTTCCGAACCTGCTTATCCGCAGTCAACGGAGCCCACCCAGGCTATTAGTGTAGGGCCTAGACTAGGAATGTGACTCTACTTGAGTGACTTTAGCATAGCACACAGACGGCAAAGCTTTAGCGCCGCTTGACTCCAAACACACGAGATGTATTGTGTGAACTTGATCATTCGATCATTCATTCCCAATAACGCCGTGTTTTTTCAACAAATTCCGACTTAAGTGTGTTGCGATTCTGGCGCAGTGCAATATGCTTGGCCCGTTCGGGTTACACTTAAAGAATCCCGTTCCATGCTGCATGGTTAGGATGGACATGCTGTCGGAATCGTCTAACTCCAAAGGCACAATGGCCGGAGGTGTTCAAATCGGAGACTCGATTCGCAGCTCTAGTTGTGCATGTACAATTGATTGTGATGACAAATGAGGCCAAATCTTGGTTATCCAGCAAGACTTCGACTCTCTTCAATTGCTTGATTACAATCAACGTCTTCATCTCCAGCTTCATTCACAATCTCTCTATGTAAAAAGCGGGGTAAAAAGCGGAGTCTACTTTGCCACATCTAAGCCATTACAACTCCTCTCTCTTGCTAAGAACTGCCTCTTCTATGGTATCCTTATACTCGTCTATATCCTTGGCTTACTGGGGTTGAAGTCACGGGTGCGACCATCCTCCCCCCCCCACACGTCCAAAGCCACGGCCCCCACGGTTCCGTTGTGAAAACGAGCGCAAGGGATGAGGCGCGTCAACCCTGATGCTTAGGACACGTGTCAAGTCGTTGGCTCGGTTGAGAGTCTTACAAAATTCTCCTTGGAGGCACTCTGCAAAAATACAATAGTCAAATGACTTGCAAGATCAGTCGCTATGAGAGCACTAGCCTAGCTTGACCAATCCGTTCACACAGTTCTCGGAACGTTGCGAGTACAAGGCCCTCATAAGGCAGCCTTGCAGTGTTAGGAAGAAAGTAGCACAGCCCCTTCGACGGGCATGGCTGTCACAAATTGTAGCACAACGCCACTTCTGAAGGGCCTGACTTTCCTATCTATCATCAAAACTACATGTGTCTGGCACACTTCAATCACTACCATTGTACGAGTGAGTAATACTATCTAGAGCGCGGCCCTCGCTGAAAAGACTCAACGACCCGTTCTCACAAACAAGATGGTTTTATACGAATTTCCTGAAGAGGCTCCACATTTGGTGAGGCCTCTCACGGTAAGGACAGTCATCCAGACCCCCTGCAAACGAGCAGCTTATAACGCTATATAGAAAGTCAAGAAGCATGCCCCGGAAAGGCCTACAGGGGACCAAGCACCCTTAGCACCGGGAACGGCGCATGGTTCATGGCCTGCAAATTTGCAATGGGCCGTTTGCCAACAGACAAAGACTCAGGCGCAAGCAAGCAAGTCACTCCTCAGTCACAAGCATCCCTCCCGGAAATTGCATGTCTAGGCAATGTCTTACTGAAAGCTCAGGAGTACAAACATCACTGCAACACGATTGCACACCGGGAATGAATTGCAGAAAGAAAGATGCAGTGCAAGAGAGATGAAAGCAAAGAGAACCGATTCAACACCGGAAATGGTGCTGATCTAGACTCCGGCGTGGGGGCAGTGAGGGTCGACGGCGCATCCAAGGAGTAGCCTAGGGCCAGCAGGTGCTGCAGTTTGGCGATGATGGCTCTCGGGTCAGTGGCCATGTGTCCTTGCGGCGATGGTGGAGCGGACTACATAGCTTTCGCGCCGCTAGACTCCGAACCCTCCATATGTATTGTGTGAACTTGATCATTCGATCATTCATTCCCAACATCGCCGTGTTTCGATAGTTTATGGGCCCACGGCGCACGACGGCGCCTGAAGAGTGAGAACGCAAGCATTTAATAGTAGGCCTTGAATAGGGTGAAAATTGAATATCTGCGCCAAGGTCGGCCAATGGTTTTCTCTTGTTAATGAAGGCATCGGTGGAGGCGGTCTGTTTTATTGTTGATGCTCGTTGAGCTAAACGACAGCTGAAAGCCCGTAAGGGGGCTCAAGTGGCAAGGAAAGCCTTGAAGGAAATTATCCACCTTTGCTCCTGAAAAAGAGAAAAAGGGAACGCAATCCCTATAGTGGTTGACTGATACAAGGTCCACATTGACAAGTTGGATGTGGAGGACTATAAAACGTCGAGTTCAAAGATGAAATTTAATCTGACTTCCATAGATCTATGGAGTCCTGTAGCACACGGGCCAGCTCCATGAAAGAAAGCGTTGTCCATCAGAGTCGGGCTAAATTTTGAGGACCACAATTTGGGGTCGACTGAAGAGTGGAAAACCGCAAAGGATTCGTGAGATCTCCTTGAGATGACCTACAAGAGCAAAAGCAATGCACGGAAGAGCAGCTCAGGCAAGAGTTACATTCTCTCAAGATGAAGTTGGGTGAGCCCATGACCATGTATGTGGGTCGGGGAAAGGATTTGTATAGGGACTTGGTCGCCACCGGTTTTGATATGAAGCCGGATGAGTTGGCATGGAGCGTGCTTGCGGGATTGCCCAAGACGTTCAGTTTCCTTAGGACAATTTCGGAGGCTTCAGAGAGCGCCATTAGCTCGGTCGATGCGATTTCGCCGAAGCTCTTGGTGCATAAGCAGGAGTTTGAGGTGTCGCCCAAAGAAAAGAGGGGCGGTGGGTCGGACTCCGTTGTGGCCTATGTGGCCGAGAAAGGGAGCAAGGAGAAGGGCCACGGCAAGGATGAGAGCCGGGGCAAAGGGCCCAAATGCTATAATTGCGGGGAGTCCGGTCACATTGCCTCGAAGTGCAGTAAGCCGGATAGGCGGGAGCATAAGCCGGAGCAGAAGAAGGGGGGATACCTCCGGATAGTGTGGCCTTTAGTGTCATTGAGGGGGTGTCTATCGACGAGTGGCTCGTCGATTCGGGTAGCTTTGAACACCTAACCGGGGACAAGAATCTATTTGAGACCCTCGAAATGTTCGAGGGGAGTGGTGTTGAAACACAGCGTTGTTGGAAGTGATATTCAATCAATCAAGTTCACACAATGTATATGGAGTGTTCCGAGTCACGGC